CAGCCAGTCTGGCTCTGTCCAAAGGTAACAAAATCCAACTTCCAGCACCTCCAAAGCTCACAAATTGATATGGTATATCTAATTTGTTCAATCCGTACAAAAACCAAAGTGTAAAAACGTAAATGTTTCATCTACTTAACTTTTCAAATATATCCCATTTGTTTAATCCTTAAAGAAACCCTAAGTGTAGATGAGAAGATTACAGCTAGCAGCTGGTTAGCGTTAGCTTAGCGAAAGAAAAAAAGAAAAAAAAAGGAAGAAGGAGCCAAATGCAGAAATGACGACCTCCTCACCTCCCACTCAACGATATCTATACTGGACATACAGTGCATACAGTTAAATGAAAGAATTCTGTAATCAGTTCCTTTCTGTGGGGTGCTTGTATTGCTGTGTTTACAGTCACTGTTCATAAAGATGGTCTTAACAAACTGTGGATGGGGAAGTGAAAAGGGGATTAGAGGCTACAGGCCTCCTGTACTTCCAATCATAAAACATAATGTTCTCACTTTGAGGTGACAGAGTCTCTTAATAAATTACAGTTTATTTCTTCATAAACCTCTGGCTTGTCTTCTTCTGTGCATACAAAATGACCACTTATAACAACACATGTTAAGTGCTGCACATTATTCATAGATACTAAAATCATTAGATACATATTAGATATTTACATTAATATGCAACCAAAATCACAGAGCAAAGAGAAAGTAATGAGGATATCTAAAAAAAAAAAAAAAACAGCACCAGATTCCAGCTAAACCAAAAAAATTCTCTAATTGTGTAATGGATTGTGTAATAGTGTGTTTTCCAAGCCTTCTGTTTTTTTAACCAAGATGTTAAGTCATTGTTGCGTGACATCAATCAGTCATGCAGAGAGTGACACCACTATTGTTTTTGAATGAGTGAATTTTTGGACATATTACATCAGGGTAGATTCTTTGTAGTTATTGCACTAACAGACCATAATACTGTATATCTACATTTTAAAGTAACAAAAAATTACTACACAAAGACTTAATGGCCTATGTGCTCAAATTTCTGGCTTTTAAAACCCTTTCAAGCTGTTGAAGTAAAAAAGAGTCCATGGAGTCCAGATACTGGTGGTGGTGGTGGTGGCTGATGACTCTGAGGCTGATGAATCCGTAAAGATTAGGTGGTGATGGGGAGGTGGAGGGCGCGCATGACAGCAGCAAGAAAGAGCTATGGCAGAGAAAGAACCATATTTAAAATGAGGAGCAGTAACGTGATAGGCTGACAGAGAAGGTGTGTGGCTGTGCTGTTATTTGATTGTGAACCAGCTGAAAACAGCTGATGACCCCATTGACAGACCCAGACAAGGACACCTAGAGACAGTGAGTGAGCATATGCAAGGAGTGAATGGCAGGGTGAGAAAGAAACTTAAAGCCTGAGCATGAAAAACATTGTCTTCCTGAATGAACTTCAGTTTTAGATTACAATTATTGATAGAGTACATGTAATTTTCATGTTGCAGCTGATAAAGATGGAGCTAATTTTAAATTACTTGATATGCTGCTGTATAGCATAACAATATATCATATTAGGTTAGATAACATAAAGTAACATAAAATAGAAATCAGGTAAAGTACAAGTACCTTAAAAATGTACTTAAATACAGTACTTGAGTAAATGTACTTAGTTACTGCATTTTGGATGCAAATATTGTACTTTTTACTCCACTGCATTCAATTCACCACTTTAGTTACTTCACAGATTCAGAATATTGATACAAAATATAATCAACTAATAATGTATTATAACATTATACATATAACAAGATATCTATCAGTAATATTAGTCAGAATAATATATATTATTCTGAAATGCTACATTTAGCTACTTAATGAGTACTTTTTGCACTTCATATTGATACTTAACTTTTTCAACTTTTACTTGTACTTTTGAAAGCAGGTCTTGTAGCAGAGTTTGTTTCACATCATGTTTCGACTCAAAAGCTAGCAAAGCAGTGCACGCCATTTCCCAACTGAACATGCCTATGGAGGGGATCATGCACTTGGTTGTGTGTGGGTGCATACGTATATCTGTCTGTCTGCAGCAGATCACGCATACTATTGGACCCATCAGCCTATTAGGTTTTGTGCACATTTATGACTGTATGCCGATTCACAGCTTTTGAACAACCTATTTTATTGACTGCTCTGATTTATATTGTCATCAATCTCAGGACCCATCAGCTATTGGTCTGAATTCAATAAGCCTATAGGCATAATGGCCAATATTTCAGAGGTTCTGATGTAGCCAGTCAATTTCTGGGCCAAGGCTTCCTCTTCCAAGCACCAGTCATTTCAGCTGCATATTAATGCAGATTTAAAAAAAGCTAATATAAAACTAAATTGTCATCGGACTCGAGCTGGTGGTATTTTGGCCAGTGTGCTTCGCCTCTCCAAACGGACTGTATACCTGTCACTCAGACCTGATTTATCAATACTATTCAGAGTACAAATTCAAACCAGAGTGCTTCTGACACCAAATCCTTTCCCATTGCCTACAGATTCAGCATTCATATGCAGAGATCTGTTTACAAAGATTATGCCATCACTGACTGCTGACTTGAGGCGGCACGGTGATGTGGTGGTTAGCACTGTCGCCTCACAGCAAGAGGGTTGCTGGTTCGATCCCGGGTCTGGGAGCCCTTCTGTGCGGAGTTTGCATGTTCTCCCTGTGTCAGCATGGGTTCTCTCCGGGCACTCCAGCTTCCTCCCACAGTCCAAAGACATACAGATTGGGGACTAGGTTAATTGATAACTCTAAACTGAGTGATCAACAACTGCTTCAGTTTGGAATCTTGTTTCCCTTCATTCCACGACTGTCATGTATACACACGCCGTACAGCCTGCCCTGCATTCCCTGTTCCCCGCCCACATTCTCTCAGACACACCTGGCAGAGATCTCTACTGAGTGCACTTTTCTAGTTATTATCAACGACTCAAGCTCACACACAGTCCCCCTCTACACCTGTTTACTAATGCATCATGTTTCAGTGTCATGTTGTTTTAATGTATTAGAGCAGTGAAATGTCTCAACAGTCTTTACTTCCTCTGGCTGATGAAGATAACTGTATCTACCAAGCATCAGAAAAGAGGAAGTGTTGGTTCTCTGTTGGACCCTTTCAAACTTTATTTGCATTTATCATTAGTCGAAAGGAAGTGAGTTTGACCCCAACACCCTGTGTGACACACAAAAAAAAGAAGTTAAAGAGTGAATAGATAGCAGTATATTGTATTTGCATAAATGGCATTAACATTAAAATCTTAGCCCTATTAAAGGTCTTTAAATGTTCCTTCAGGAATGTATTAATGTTTGTGTTTGTAAAACATAAAGGCTATGTTATCATAATCTACACAGTGGATGAAGGTGACCTCAGTATCTTGAAAAAACTAAAAGAGATAAACAAGAAATAACAGTAAGTCCTGCCCTTTACTTTCACTTCCTCACTCACTGTATTCGAAAGAGGACAGAGCTTCCAGGCAGAGGAAAGGGACTAACATGCTTCTCATGTACATGAGACTGACACTGTATATTACATGATAAGAGATGTCATTTACACTCTTTTGATCTGGGAGAAACATCTTAATCGAACAAGGGAAGATCATTAAGTCTGTCAGTGATCAGTGATTAATCAGCACTTCTTCTTGTGACACAGTGAGTATCAAAAATTATTATTTCTTGACCATTTAAGGTTAAATAAACTGAGGTCAAATGTTCAGATGACATGCAACTTAAAGCTCCAGTGTGTAAGATTCAGGAGGATTTAGTGGAATCTAGTGGTGAGGATTACAGATTGCAACCAGCTCAAACTGGTTAGAATTCCTTTGGCGTTCATTGTGCAGGAGGTTTTTAATGGTAACCAAATTGTCTGCAGAGGTCTTTTTCTCTCAATACAGACAGACCGGGTGATTTAAACTGGTAAACACACTGAATAAAGCAGTTTCACATTACAAACCACTGTCCTCTGTGCTGTTCGGCATGTCGCAGATTGGCCCTCAGTGCCTGCTATGTCAGCTCAATTTTTCTCTTTGATAACCTTTTGTGTGCTCACCTTTTTCTGATCCAGATGTTCAGTATGTTCTTACTGTGAGCCACATTATCCACGGAGCTCCCTGCTAGAAACACTGAACAAGGCAGATTCTTTGTGCAAACCAGTGTTTCTCTGACACTGTTTGGCACATCACAGATGGCCGTTAGCCTAGGACCTGCTAAAGTGTGCTCACCTTTTTTTGGTCTGATAACTTAATATTTAGACATACAGGAAGTTTTTGCGAGAGCCAAATTATCCACAGAGGCATCTTCTTCTCCAGAAAAGATGGACCGGATTATTTAAACCGGTAAAAACACTGAATAAAGCAGTTTCATGTAAAAAAAAAAAAAATAATAATAATTGAATCTGTGTTTTTCCGATGCTGTCTGCCACTGAGGGGCTACTAGCAATGGTGGCCAATGCGAAAAATGAAAATGGCTCGATCTAGAGCCAGTGTTTGCCTTGACCATTCTGAGCTACACATGGCGGTGCAACATGGCGATCTACAGTATGTAGACGAAGACCCAATTCCTATCTAGATATAAACGCCTCATTCAAAGGAAACAAAAACACAACAATTCTTATTTTCAGGTGATCATACACTTGAGAAAACATACTTATTATATTATATTTAATTTCTTGTAATATATCCCCTAAATCCTACACATGGACCTTTCAATGTGATGTTCATGTATGATAGTGTTTTAAATGAGTATTTTTTGTTTGTTAGTGTCCCTGATGGTCTTTGTTTATTGCATTTGATTTTCAGGACCACCTTCTGCGGTTAACCATTAACCAGGTGGACTATACGTTGAGGAAGTTCAATTCCATTTTGGTTGGACATCTCTTGTTCTTTTGTAACAAAGATTTTAAAATGGATCCCGGCTTGAAAGAGGAACAAACAAAAAGAGGCTCAAAATGTTTTAAACTAACTTTTGTTTTTTTCTTGCTGAATATCAGCAGTTTTTTTGTTCCAGTCACAGGGTATGTACTGAGGTCTTGCCATATCAGTCACAGAACTGCCATATGTTCCAAGAGGAGACTCACTGCTGTCCCTCAAGATATTCCCTCAACAGTGAAAGGTTTGGACTTGTATGGAAACAAAATTTCAAAAATCCAAGTATCAGATTTCAAAAAGCTGTCAAATTTGACAGAGTTAAATCTGAAATGGAATATAATCTCAGAGATAGATACAGGCTCCTTTACCCATCTGAATTCCCTCAAGAAGTTAAATCTAAATGATAACAAACTTACTGGACTTGGAGACAATGTTTTTGATGGTTTGGGCAGCCTAACACATCTCAGAATGAACAGAAATCAGATCAAAACAGTGGCATCCACCTCTTTTAAGTCCTTGACGAACTTGACGGTTTTGGACATCTCCGTCAACAAACTGTACCGCATAACAAATGTTCATACTATATTACAGCACCTGCCAAATCTACTGGTGCTGTCAGTCGCAAACAACAACTTAACCTCTTTTCAGTCGTGGGAACTGACAAACAGCTCACTAAAACTTGCCTACCTTGATTTGTCTCAAAATCCCATTGGAGACTTTAGGATCACTGCAGATGTTTTTCCTAATCTCACCTGGTTAAACACTGGGGGCTCTTCTAAGAGGCATCACATGAAATGGGACGTTCGTAACAAGACTTTTCTTCGCAGAGTGTCTACTTTTGATATTAGTGGGCTTCAAATACCTTCAGAAGACATGAAAACAATACTAGGGACCTTCAACTCCTCACTGACGACAGTGAAGATGAATGATATGAAACGCACATACCTGAGAGCCTTAATTAACATCTCCTGCAGCATCCCAACAGTGTCCTCACTTCAACTCAGAAGTAACAACCTCTTTTTTGTGAGTTCAAATTTGTTACCGTCGTGTTTTAAGGTAATAGAGTTAGATTTAGCAGATAACTCAATGAAAAATATCAAAGACGATGCCTTCAAATATCTTCAAGGTATAAAGGTCTTGGCTCTGAATCACAACAGGCTTTCATCTGTTCCAGCTGCCATAAGGAATCTACCAGCTCTTGAAGAGCTAGATCTCAGCAAAAATAATATCACCACACTTGGGTGTCAAGATTTCGCCAATCTGACAAAGCTCAGACGGCTCAGCCTTCATCAGAATTCAATCTCAGCTCTACAGGGGTGTGTTTTCAAGGATTTAATACACTTGGAAGTTTTAAAGCTACAGAATAACAGTATTTCTAAACTGAACGACGCTTTCATAAAATACTTGCCAAATCTGAGACAACTGCATCTGAATTCAAATAAACTCACAGCAATTAAACGTGGGGAATTTAGGGGCTTGCGGTCCCTCCAGAACTTGTCATTACATGAAAATCAGATAACAGTACTGGAAAATGGGTGTTTTACTGGACTGACGAATCTTATGGATATCCAGCTGCAAATAAATCATATTAAAAGACATAAAGATTACAAAGATAGTTTCAGAGATCTGATAAATTTAAAACGATTGGATTTGAGTAACAATAACATTAAATATGATGAGAGCTCAGCTTTGCCTGATCCACCATTTTCTCATCTGTCCAATTTGGAGACACTGGCTTTTACTGGAAATCACCGCAGAGGGAAGTCCCAGCTGCCTTGCAACTTCCTGCAAGGCTTGACTAATCTTTTAGATTTCACTGGCAGGAATCTTCAGCTTATATCCTTGCACAAAGACACATTTAATCACACGCCAAAACTGCAAAACCTTGATATAAGCTCAAATGAACTTATGGATCTTTCTTCAGAATTGTTTTACCCAATTAGAAATCTCAAAAGCCTCTATATATCTAGAATAAATCTTGGGTCTCTAGACTTCTTTAAAGATGCCAGCCTAACTAAGCTGGAGTTCCTGCAGGCAAGAAAGAATCAGTTTTCAGTTTTCAGTGAGGAAGCACTGGAGTCCATGCCAGCTCTGGCTTACTTGGATCTTCAAGGCAATAGTTTCACCTGTGACTGTGATAACGCCTGGTTCCTCAAGTGGACAGAAAACAACCAGCAAACACAAGTTTTTGATGCCTACAACTTTGTGTGCAACTATCCTCCACACCTTAAAGGTATGAAACTGTTGAAGCTCGATGTCCGGTCCTGCACAGTGGACACTGAATTCATCTGCTTTATCTCCACCACATGTACGATCCTCCTGTTTATGGTGGCATCCTTCACCTACCATTTCCTGAGGTGGTACTTGGCCTATGCCTACTACATCTTCTTGGCTTTTCTCTTTGACACAAAGCATAAAAACAAGCAAGCTCTAAATCAGTATGACGCCTTCATCTCCTACAACACCCATGATGAGCCATGGGTCATCAGACAGCTGTTGCCAAAACTGGAAGGGGAGCAAGGCTGGAGATTGTGTCTGCACCATCGAGACTTCGAGCCAGGTAAGACCACCCTTTACAACTGGCATTAAACACATTTTTTAGCCAAGCTAGTGCAATAGCTTTTGGGACGGCAATATCAGTCCGTCAGTCTGTCTGGCAGTGTTTGGGTTCTGGGAGCAGAGGCACAAAGCAACATTGACAAGGCTGGTATATGCACTGACAGGTATGATTGGGAAATGACACACAGGTGAACAGGAGGATGTGGGAGTCAGGTAACCAGGAGGAAGGAAAGTCAAAGGGGAACTGGTGGACAAATAGAGAGTGCCAAGCTTAATAAAACTTCATAGATATCCAGGGGCCTTGGAGAGGTGGGGATGTGGCTGGACAGAGGGACAGGGAGGCAGAATTGGCAGAAATAAACACAAATGATGTCACTGTGACCAGGCCCCCAGGAAGTGGGCCCGACTTTGAAGCCAGTTAGATGTAGTGACCAAACCTGAGTCTGTAATATGATGCCATCAGGTTTAAAAAACATTTTCACATGACCAACATTGGGAAAAAACATTGGGGCGGCTGTGGCTCAGAGGTAGAGCGTCGTCCACCTATCGGAAGATTAGTGGTTCAATCCCCGGCTCCTCCAGTTTGCATGTCAAGATACAGAGCCCCAAATTGCTTCCAATGATGCCTCCATCGCTGTGAGAGTGAATTAAAAACTGAGTAGCAGGTGGCACCTTGTACGGTAGCCTCGGCCACCAGTGTATGAATATGTGTGTGTGAAGAAAGGCACTATACAAATGCAGGTCCATTTACCAACGAGGCATCTGTAAATCAGTATAATTCATTTTGAAAGTCTAGAGGAGCTGCACATTTAACCCTATTCTAGGGCTAAACAGCAAGTTAACTGCTCAGTCAGCGAAGTCTTAAGTGCACACTCTGTAGAATTAACAATGTGGAAGATCCGGGCAATATTATACACAGGAAGTTAAACGTTTTTGGCTTCATGTTCCACTGAGCAACTTTCATAGGAATGAACGGGGCCTCTTTTGGCTCTTTATACAACTGTGATTGTGAGAGAAGTATCTCAGCAACTATTAGCTGATAGTTGTTGATCTTGTTGATTTGATGCACACATTCATGGCACCCCTAATGATGAAATCTACTAACTTTGATGTTCCCTACATTTTCAGAAGGTCAAAGTTGTAGTTTTTCCTAATACCTGCAAAAATAATATTTCCATCAGTCTCAGATGCACAAAGCAACACTGTGCCTCACATCCTTTAGCATGGCTGGAGACACTGGGTCTTGTTTATCTATGCAGCTGCAAGTTCCATATTTTCGATTGTGAATGCAGAGCGTGTTGAACACATTTGACAGGTCAAAATCTACATTACGTCATGAATGCGGCCTTTTTTGATGATGGTGGTGATGGCATTGAATGTTTTATACACATAGCAGGAAACCTTTTTGTGTGTTATGGCCAATATTTCTAACTTCAAATATCTGCAGTGCATTATGGGCTTTGAGTCCAGTGTCAGGGAAAAAGGGGGGAATATTTACTTTCCCCTTGTTTCCATCTAATTTCAGTGTACACTTGACATGTTGAGCTGTAATCTGGCAGTCAGTGTGCTAAATTGTCTATTACTTAAATACTGTATGGCTTAAGTCAGTTGTTTGTACTTTCTCTTATACTCCAGAGTATGTCGCCATTGTACTTTTTATACTGCACCATCAGAAGAGCAAATGAGGAGAACACACATTTTATTTACTATCCATTTTCTCAGTCCTTTTTATTTTTCTCTCGCTCAGGTAAACCCATCATAGACAACATTACAGATGCCATCTATGGAAGCAGGAAGACCATCTGTGTGATCAGTCACAGATACCTTGAGAGTGAGTGGTGCTCCAGAGAGATCCAGGTGGCCAGGTAATGTGTCTTACTATTTCTGTATGAACCTAGTTTGAATGATTAATCCATCACTGGCTATGCTTATTCTGTATATTAATGGGGTCTCTATAGTTATGAAATCTGTGTGTTTAATCTGTTTAGTCTTTCAATTCAAGCCATTGGAAAAAAAGTAGGAAAAGGTCTAGTTTATCCCATAGTTGTTTCTAACATTGGGAAAGGAAATGATGTTTGTGTTGAGTACTGCTCTTTTTTCTTTTCAACGTTCCCCTAAAAAACAAGTAAGGTTGAGTCTCCAAATAACAGTAGCACAAATTTCAACTGATCTTCCAGAAAAAATGCTAAAGGAAATGCAAATTGTTGTGTGTTTCCATTCACCAGTGCCATATGAATTTATTAGGATGGAGGTTCATTAAGATAAACAGTTGGTGGCGCCAATTCTCCAGTGATTATAGCAAAAAGGGGAAAGGGCACAACAATATGATTTAATTAACAGAGCATAACAAACCTCAAACAATGAAAAACTGGAAAAGTAGATGGAAATTTGTTTCTTATATTGTTTTTTCAAGATTTTTTTTTTGATGCACCAACTTTTACACCTCAGACAGACCTTTTTTTGAAGTTATATTTCAGGGTTTTTTTTGTTTGTTTTTTTTGTTTTTCAATCTCCAGCTTTTCTCTGTTTTTTTTTCTGTAAGGTTTTTGTAAGTTTAAACCATGCTGTCATCATGAAAACTGCCATAATGTTAAATCTAAGACAAGTCTGAAACTTAAGGGAACTTAAGGTAGAAGCAGAAATAATTTCACATAGGTTTTTAAAAGATAATGTCTTTGCTTCAAATTTCTCTGAAACAATCAGTTAATTAACCTGTTTTTACAGCCTTTTACGTCAAGATCATTTTTCAAGCAGAAAGTCAAACTTTCAGTGGTTCCAGCTTTTAAGAAGTGGGGATTTACTGCTTTTCTCTGCCTATCTGTCATTGTCAATAAACTACCTTAAAAGCAATTTGAACACATCACATTGGGATCTAGAGACCCAGAAACCTATGTCAATATTTTTCCATGATTTATTTTGACATTTTTGAGACATTTAGTTGATAAGAAAAAAGACATGCTGAATGGTGCTATCCTCACTTCTGTCTTTTTCCTTTGTTCAGCTTCCGCCTGTTTGATGAGCAGAAGGACGTGCTCATCCTGGTGTTTCTGGAGGACATTCCCACCACTCAACTGTCTCCTTACTACCGCATGAGGAAGCTTCTGAAGAGGCAGACCTATTTGAGCTGGTCTCGAGCCTCAGAGCACCCTGAACTATTCTGGGAGAGACTCCGCCAAGCTCTGAAGACCAGAGAGGATCTCGGGGAGGATGAATTCAACCTGACTGTGACGGACAGACCGTGATGGAAAAGGAAATACAACCTTCTGTGAAAGGTTCAATCCCATTGTCGTCAACTGGTTTGAGGTTTCTCAAGCGACAACCTCCAGGGCTGAAAAATGAAGCCAACATGGAAGTGTCAAAAACTGCAGTTCCTTGAGTGTCCACTTGGGGCTGGCTACAGAGGCGACTTAATCTTCATCTACCCTCATGTTTAATTATACAATACAATACGATTCGATACGATATACTTTATTGTCCCATAGGGAAATTTGTCTTGGATTCATATGTGCTGCATACAATAAAAACACAGATAAAAAGTACCAACCAGTACCAGTAGAATTGCCCAACTTTACAGCAGAAATAAACATGTTTACAGGCTGGTTTGGGTCTCTATAGCTAATTTCAACATTCATGACAACTGTACAGGGGGCAAATTTTAATATAACTCATCTTTTCACATTTTATGAAGGCTTAAAGTTCTCCATATTATAGAACGTTAACAAGTGCATTTTTGCAACATCACCATCTTGTGTTATATTATAAATATTTTTCCTCCTGCACAAACATTCTGCAGGGGTGTGAAAGCATTCATATGAACCCACGAAACCAGTTAATTGGTCTTTGTAAATTTCCATGAGGATTTTTGTGACGAAAATCATGCTTTAAGTACGAGTGAAATACATGAAGCATAGTGAGCGTGTGAGCTGTGCTTTTGACAGACGTGGCAGAGAACTGATAACGATAGATAATAAATGGGTGATGGATTATATCAATGGATAAATAATTAAACAGAGCTAGATGCCGAAAAATGATGTATGTAAAAAACAAAACAAAAGGACTGACAACAGATTGGTCCCATCAAAAATACTTAAAACAAGTAAAACATCTGTGTATGGGTCCCCCTGCTTGTCGGTTTGGTTTGATAAAAATCATAATTACTTTCGGATTCATTTTTCAAATAGTCAACTACGGTATAAACTAATACTACCTATGCCACATTTTAACATCTGAACAGTATCACTTGACTCTTATGGACAGAATTCCGGGTTATAACTGTGGTAACACTCACAGCAGGAGCGTAGAAAACATGTTTCCACATTGTCGTGATAACTTATACTGTATATATGCACTTTTTGGGTATTGATTATGTGTAAATGTTATAT